GTTTGTTTTCACCCCGCCCCCTGGGGGGGTATTGTGTGCTGTTATTTCATGTAATGTAAAGTTTGCTCCTGATAAGCTGGCACCACAGGCTGCCATGCTCTTTAATGACAGTCCAATAGAACCACTTGTGTTAAAGGTTGTGCTGTCAGGTCTCAAGCTGGTCAGACCGTGCCTTTATAACCAGCCAACCTAAACTGTCTGTACCTACTCAGCTTCTGTCATTCAAAAAGAAAGCATCTGCAAGCATCTTGAACACCAGCCCTTTCTGCAGCCTATCATTTAAAATATGCCTGACTTAACTAGCCAAAGGCTGCAATATATATTAGGACAAAGGTAACATGCAGAACCAAAGCTTACATGCAGGAAAGCTCCAATGCCCCATTGGCACAATGAGATCATTGTAACTAGAGAGATGATGCCATAGCAGAAAACAAATAACTTTTCGGCGGTGGAATAGGTGAAGTATTCCAACGCTTTCTCAGCTGTTGCAGGGCAGATCGGCATCGCAGATGCTATGTGCAGGAGAACCGATCTGCCCTGGAACAGCTGTTAAGTCCTGAAATGTTACTTCTATCTGACTTTGTGAGTGGGGTGGAATGTGAGATCGCAGTCGGAGAGAAGTGACATTTCAGGACTGATCAGCTGTTCCAGGGCAGATCGGTTCTCCTGCACATACGATCTGCCCTGGAACAGCTGACACAACGTTGGAATGCTTCACCTATTGGCGGTCACACATTCCACCGCCGAAAAACTGGGTGGGATTACGTTAAAACGTGTGACCACGTCACCGGTCCCACATTCTAACATAGACACAAACTTTGATAGAACACCGCCATCAGGGGGGTATGACCGATACCCACGTGAGAGGTCTGGGGGGCCCCTTACATGAGTATCAGCTGCACCAGGGGCGGCATGGCAGAGGTGACGGGGGAGGGGGTGGAGGAGGTCGGGCCCCAGCAGCAGCAGGTAAGATGAGTTGGGAGGAGGTACAGGGAAAGGGACCACGACGACCAGCCCACCTGGGACCCTGCAGAGCCCACCATAGAGAGGTGGGCTATGCAGGATATATGGTGTGCTCTGCAGGGTCTACTGCAACATTAGAGACCACGGGGGTGGGGGTCTGGGGCCAGTGTGATCCGCTCCCGCCCCCCCTCGTCTCGTTGATCCCACATCCTGGGATCAACTCCAATCCTTGTTGGACCCCTGTCAGCGGTGCACCCATGTTATACTTCAGGTCCTTCATCCTTCTGCCCATGTAATAAGTACTTCACAGTGCCTAAAGTGCACGTCCCTGTATGATGCAGTACAGAAACAGCACAATATTCACAAGTGATTCACAGAACCAGGAGCACTGGTAACTTTTAATCGAGCGCTCTATGGTCTGCCAAAAAGACTGAGGGGGCAATTCAATATAGCGTTTGTAACAGATTTCTGTCAGCACACAGCAATGGGAGGTCTTGCACCTAATTCATATAAGCCATGCAACACTTTTGGTATTAGTTCCAATGCGTGTAATAAATTGAATTTGTTTTTATTTGCAACACTTTCACATTGTCACTATTTCTGCGACAAATTCATAAAAAATACTGCCACGTTGGAGTTAAAGAACAAGTGCACCTTATCTGTAAGTGCACTAATTCTTTAGATAAATAAAACCAATGTCACGTTGTCCGCCCAAGTGTCCTTGCAACCGATAACAGTGGGACGGAACATACACATGGGATGGAATGGCTGATATGAACACTCCAATCACAATGCCAGCTGCCAACCATGCCTCCATGTAGTTTGTGCCACATCTGGCACATCAAATTCTGACATGTACATGTTTCTGGTATGTACATAAATCTTTTGCACTCACCAACTTTTGTTGCATTGTGACATGATACTCTCCTAAAGAACGTCTATGCCACGCTGTTTAAATTCCTAGGTATGTAAACAACTTAAGGCTAATGCTAATCCATTTTTCTTTCAATGCGCTTTTTTTTTTTCTTTCATAGGAATTACACCTGTGTTCTGTTTGTAACGATACATAATACAACTATGATGAGGAAAGCATACCATTTTTACCAGTGAAACCATGACACAGATTATGGGCCAATAAACATAAAAATACAAGGGACAGATTACCTGATGATGAATAATTCCAGTCTTGAGAAGCCTGATAAAATAGTCTTTATTTATACTCCCTGCACTTATGGCTCACATCTGCAGAGCAGATTGCCTTCAGTCTATCTTAACAGATGGACTAGATGGCAGACCTTAATGTGAACATTTTAGCTTAATGTGAAATACATTTAATACACAACTACAGGACGAATCTTAGTCTGTAAGACATTGGTTTTAAAAAAAATAAGAAATGAAGCCTCCATTATTTACTAGAAGACATAAATGGCAAGCAGTAAGCAGATGGGATTTATTAAAAAATATACGACTCGAATATCAAACTATTGGAAAAATGTACACATGCATCGAGCATATACTTGATTGCCTGTAATAAAATATTCCATTGCGTTGTAAATGCAAAAAGGGGGCTGTATTTAGCTGTGCATTGAATACTGAAAACTGCAGGTTTTTGATTCATGTTACAAAAAAATTGTACTGTATAGTGGAGTGTCATAAGGATCTAAGATACCTTTAATGTCTTTAGTATGTTGTAAAGAAGTGTCAGCACAGATGTTTAAACATCACATTTGATACACAACCCACAAGGGCAAGGTCAAGTAGGTGTAGCACATTTTAAATAAAGTACCATATTTATATGAATACTATTACTTCATACTTAATGCACTTCATCAGCATGGTATACCTTCTAGTGGCTCACAAGTTGATACAGGTTGCATAACCTCCAGTTAAAATAGTTATATTGGAGACCACTACAGTATACAGCACTTTCATAGTTTACCTTCCCCTCTTAAACATACTAAATGAATGTAAAAGGGTTCTCCAGGCAAATGGCTAAATATGCACCTGACTAACAATGATTTCAAAAGTGTGAGAATGTTGATTCATAGTTCAATAAGCGAAGTTGGATGTGGGGAGGTGACACAGGGAGCTGCAACAATGAACCAGGAACTAGATATGCCACCTGCTTGGCTGTGCAGTGTGACATAGATGTGCAATTCTCCTAAGAGACTGAAGGGAACCACAAATCATTTGGCAGTTCACATATTGTATAAAAATGTTAAAGTGTTAGGCTAAAAAGAAATGAGCTACGAAACGGACACAAGTAAAAAAAGGACAAACATTTAATTGGGAGAGGCCTGTTTTAGCAGAAGGAAAAACAATGTCAGTTTTGGATGAACCGTCTCCTTCATAACTCCCTTTTTAAGATCATCAAATAATAGAGGTAATCAACATCAGCCAACTAAATACATTGGGGGGAATTTATCAAAAGAAAGAAGCTGATTGGTTGCCGTGCACAGCTGCTCCAGATTTTATCTGCTCCAGTTTTGATAAATTCCCTTTTATGAATGGTAGTAAAAGGGATGGTGAACCCACAAGCATAGCATACCTGTCTGTAAGAAAACACATAGGACTAAATGAACTAGGAGCCAGTGATTACAATGTAGAAGCCAGAATGCACTTATAAGGAAGACCCTGCCTTAAAGGAGAACTATGGGGTCAGGGCTTTTCCCCATAGTTCTCCTAAGGGTAACGGGAGGACACAAACTAACGTCCTCCCGTCACCCTAGGCTCAGTATAACGTGAGCAACAGCTCGCGGTATACTGAGACGCCGGAGCCGGGACAGATCCCGACTGTCTGGATCCACCCAGCTGCGTGAGTGACAGCTGGCTCTGACTAACTAGAGGGAGAGCCAGCTGTACCCTCCCCTCCCCGTCCGTTTCACCAGTCAGCGCTGGAGGATCGGACAGGGGAGGGGGGGAATCCCTGCAGGGAGCCGTGAATAACAGTATGTGTTCGCTCACCTCCAAATCTATTGAGCCGACCTGTGACAGTTTCAGTGTCACAGGTCGGCTAGAACTATGAGGCTGATTTTCACTCGCCTCATAGTTCTCCTTTAATGATGTTATTTATCAGAGCTTTGATTCAGGTTGCTAACATTTTAATATACCTTATTTGCCAGAATGGCTAATTTTCAGAACTTCTTTTGACAGGAATGTGTAGCTTAATACTCTGAATAACGTAGATGAAGAAACTTGCACCAAATTGGTACAGGAGCCACCATTCCATAAACAGTAAATGCTAAATGAGTTTAAAGTGTGTTTCCACTTTTGCAGCCAAGTTGGGATAACACTACTTTATATTTGTTACATGTTCCCATAGCATAGCTATGGAATAGCTATGGAATGTGCCAATTGAAAAATCTTGCTTCGTTCCCATTGTCTGGTGGAGTTTGGTTTCAAATAATTAACCCTGTCTGTATTGTGCTGGTAATCAGTCTGTACTCTGCTGGCACAAATAATTTCTTCATGCCCCCATAAACACAGGCTCCTGGTAGCACCATTAGAGCCCGTTCACACAAGGGGCGTGCGTTAATTGCATGGTTCTGTGCAATAAATGCATGGTACCGTATAACACACCTACTATGCTTTAACAGTGCGGGGGGTGCATTCTGTTGCCTCCCGCACTGTTTATTATTATTGGTATTTATATAGCGCCGACAATTTTACGAAGCACTTTATACAGTGCACATTCACATCATTCCCTGTCCTCAAGGAGCTTACAATCTAAGGTCCCCATCTCACATGCATACATACGAGGGCCAATTTAGACACGAGCCAATTACACTACCAGCATGTCTTTGGAGTGTGGGGAGAAAACCCGTGCAAGCACAGACAGAACGTGCAAACTCCTCGTAGATAGTGATCTGGAGAAGGATTCAAACCAGAGACCCCCAATGGTACAAGGAAGAAGCGCTAACCTCTACACCACTGTGCTGCCCATGGTAGGTGCATCGTGGCTATAGTGTGTGTTAAATCGTATGGAACCGTGCCATTAATGCAATTATTCACATTACTAACATAGCATGAACTCTTACCTCTTCCTTTGAGTTGTCCGATTCCAGCCTTAGTGTGAGGTACATTGCTATGTGAGGCACGCCTTGCACAATCTGCAGGTGGTTGGCATGTTCTTCACCCCAGATCAGCTTTGTTAGAGGATTTATGGGTGGCTGCGTCTCATAATTTATTCTCGGAGGTTGGATCTGAGCATCAAGCACAGGTGTTTCAAATGTCAGTTTTACCTGTCCCCAAAAAAAAAAAAAAGAAAAGAAAGATCCAGAGAGGAAATGGATTAATATTACATTTTAAAAATCTAGTTACTTTAGAGAAGTCTATTAGTAGGAAATAAAAGGTGAAAATATAAAACACTTGCGACTAGTGCCAATCCCTTCATAAATTACAAGTCCACAGTAAAAAAAGAAATGCAATGTTCACACCACCTACCAGTAAAATAAACTGATCTCCTAAAGAAATAAAACCTAAAATATGAGTGATTCTAGTGTGCACATGTGTGTGTGGGTCATCCTAACTGGAGTTTGCTAAAACACTTGCGTATTAAACAATTGCCATTTTGTTTTAATAAAAATACAGTTAATTCATTAGAGACAGGATCTGCAGCATACTCTGTTGCCACACAAAGATCTACACTTGTGAGTACAATTGTTTTGATTTGATATTTCTTAGTAAATAAAAACTACTACACACTTCTATACTTTTGTTTTGTACACCTGTTCCAGTGACAATTGTCTAAAGCTGGTCATACACATAGATTTTCTGCAGATTTCCTATAATCAGATGCAAAAAGTGCAACAGATTCCTCCATCTATGCTAAAAACTGTGTGGATGGGGGAATCTCCCACTGGGCCGAGCTTCAGTATATTGCTAGTCGTTCCTGTTTGCTCTCAAAACACCTGAACAATGCCTTCATCCAATCAGATTGTTCAGGTATTTTGACAGCCAGCAGGGAATCAAACATGCTGATGGAAGCAGTACCAGACAGGTAAAACATGAATGGCCAAAACAACACCCAAACAGTAGAGAAAGATTTTTTAGGAGCAGGATATAAGGATGTAGGATAATGTCAAGGTTAAAAAGGTGAAAGGCAGAGAAAGGAGGCCCTAGGCCGCAGTTCTACCTTATCCTTATGGATAATCAGAAAAGGCTCCTTACAAGGCCGACAATTCAGAAACACGCCTGACAGAATTGGTGGTGATGTGGAAGGCAACCTTGCAAAAGAGTAGGGTCTCTGAACCCAAAAGGTTCAAAGGGTGACTGCGGAGCTGACAGGACTAAGATGACGTCCCACTGAGTCACCGGAGTGAGTACAAGGGAAAAAAGGTGAGTGACCCTTCTACACAAAGCCCTTCACTAGAGAGGGAGAGCCATGCCACCTCTGGAAAAGCATTGTCAAAGCAGAAATTTGACCCTTGATAGTAACTCAAAGCCAAATGCTGGCCTAGGCCAGACTGGAGGAAAGATACCATGCATCTCACAGAGTACTTCTTCCTTGCTTCACATCAAGCAAAATCAGCCTTCTGGGTGTGATAGTAGACCATGCAGTAGGTTGACTTCCTAGCTTTCAGAAGCATAGAGATGACAGCGTTCGACAGGCCTCTGCCTTTCAGACCTGGTTGGATGTCCTTGCAAAGATTCAGTGTTGAAGAGAAAACTGAATTGCTGTGAGCTCCAGGATATCGATTGAGAGATGAGCTTTCTCCAGTGATCAAGTATGCCGTCATAACAGACTTGCCTCTCCAGCGTTCCGGGCATGGCGCGGAGCTCGGTCTTCTCCCCTGCGCCGTCATGCTGCTCCTCCCTCCTAGTTGGCTTAAGCTGTGAAATTCAATTCCTCGGCTTGCGTGCAATAGAGCAGACACCAGGCAAGCTTCTCTTCACCCCGCTCTCCATGACGATCATACTCCTAACACTGTACCATCCTGGCTGGGCATTCCTTTGACCGTGCCACTATGCATCCTGAATAGGCATCTCTCCTAGATTACTTTATACCACTCTCCATCCTGATTTAACCCATCCACTCCTGGCTTATGGCTTGTGACAACAGAGCATCCAGTGAAACACATAGCTAAGTACCAGCATTACCTCTTCCTCTGAGGTGGCACTGTTAACCCCTTCTCAGCTACAGCATTGCATAGCAACTACTAACACCAATAGCAACGCTGCTTCTTACTTCCACCAAACGCAAAGCATTTCGGTGAAGATCTTTGGTTCGTCTCTGCTGTCGCACATACTTCATGTACTCATTATCTACCTGTGTTGAAGTGAAGTAACTTCCTCTAGTTTATTTATGGAGCCAAGGTTGGTGAAGTGTTAATTACTGATAAACTCATGTGTTACCCTGGCAATTGCTGAAGTTAGTTCTTATCCAATTGAGTGGTGTCACGTTGTGCCTTTGAGTCTTATCCAGTCTCAGTCTCTATTTCATTCGGTAAGTCTTCTCTGAGATGTCTGTAGCTGAGATCCATATTAAAACATTAGCTCTCGTAGCCTGTGTGTTACACCTGTACCAAGAGAGGACCCAGGACTCCTCCCCTGCCCAACAGACTGACATCCATCATAAGAAGATTTTCCTGACTCCAGCATTGGATTCAAACTCCCCCATTCTAGCACAAATCTGTTTTTGCTGGTCAGGAGTATGGGATGGTCAAGAGACTGCACCCTTATGTCCCTCACTGCCAAGATACTGACTTGCAACAGTCTGGAGTGAATTTGGGCATTTGGAACTCAAAATTGTGGCCTCAAAAGAGAGGTCCGTGTACTGAACCAGTTTGACCAACACAGCCAAAATTTTGAACTGCAACTGTCTGGAATGAAATGGAACATAGGGGATTGCCTGGAAGGAGATCACCATAAAGCCTAGCACCTTCAAGCAGAAGCAAATGGTTGAGCAACCCCTAGACCACAAACACCAAGTGTGGGAGTAGATACATAAGATCTTTTCCAGTAAAAGGAAGATCCTGAACAGGACCTTGTCTAAAACCAGGACCAGATACTTCAAGCGATAAAGAAGTTCTAGCTTTGACTTTGGAAGATTCAGAACCCTTCTGAAGCTCAACAGGGTTTAAATTGGCCAATGAAAGTTGGATGATAAGGCTTGTGCCGACTTCAGCTTGCGCTGAAATTCCTCACTATGGGAGATCTTCTGAAAATTAAGCAGAGCCAAAACAGGGGCCAGCACCTTGGTGAAGACTGGGGTTCAGTCGACAGGCCAAACAGAAGGGCAACAAAAACGGTAGTGTTGCATGTTTACAGAAAACCCCCGGAAGAGATGATGGACAGCAAAAATGGGGGATGTGCAAATACACATCCTTTATGTTCACGGATGCCAGAACGTCTCCGAGTGAAGAGAGGCGATGAAAGAACGGGTACATTTCATAAAGAAATATTAGACTTGCAGGAACCAGTCGAGAATCTTCAGATCAGTGGACCACTTCCCCTTTGCTTTGGGGACATTGAACAGTTTAGAGTAGAACCCCTGAAATGTTTCTGCCTCTGAAACAGGACCCCTACTAAAGGAGCTGATCTAGGGCAGATAAAAGATCTGTTCATCTTTGAGGCAATCTTGGCAAGTTTGACAGCACGAAGCGAGCAAAAGGCACAGAGCGAAATTCCAGTTTGCAACACGGTGCTCTTTTCCCCTGTTACTTCATTGATGTAAGTATCCAAGGAGTCACTGAACAGACATACCTCAGTAAAAGGCAACTGTTCAGGGCTTCATGGAAGGAAGCATCAAAAATCAACATTTAGGCCATATGATAATGTCTTATTTGGATAAACAGGAGACCTAACCTGGAGATTTGTCTGAGGGTACCTGCCAGATCATTAACTCAGCAGCGCAAGGCCACAGGAAAGTGCTTTAACTGTTTCGAGTGGCGGGGGTTCCTCAAGATGGACCCATGGTACCTAGCCATCGATTTTGGCCACACATATAAGGTCTGACACATTGCCATGGGGTAACAGGAGCTTGCATAGCAATAGGGTATTGCATAGTAAATTGTTTAGGTGGATTAAACAATTTGTTGGGGTGATCTCAGACTACTGACTTTTGGCAAGGTTGAAACAGGCAGCTCTAGCAGGAAACAGTCACACAAGACATCTACAAGGATAGAAATAGTGAGAAGAGAGGTCATGAGACAGGTCTTCTTCCTAGGAGGGGTCCAATGGACTGGATGCTGCCCATTCTTATTCTTCAACTTCTTCTTTAGGGAGTGCAAAACCAGACAGAAAAGTCAGAGGGGGCACCTGAGAGGAGGAAGAAGAAGATATCTTCTTGTGCCCTCTGTAGTCTGAGGATTACAATAGGTCTGACATTTTCATAATAAGTTTAGCCATTACTGAAGATTTGTTTCTGCATAGAGTACAGGAGGGTGTCCTGCAGGGTACTGAGGAAGACCCTAAGGCAGGTAGTGATGGGGAAAAGGAGCAGTACATAGGACAAGCAGAAACAGGGTCTTCAGAGGAAACAAAACCTTACACAGAGCTGTTGTAAGGCTGTGTGGCACCAGGGCCTGCCACCCAAACATCCCAGTGTCTATTATCTGCCATTGTCCGAGAGTGAAACCCCAGGTACTCACAACTGTGAAGGCTGGAGAGTGCCTTGTGTTCCAATACTGCAGGCAAAAGCAGTGCAGCAGTGCAGAGATCTGAACCACCTGCACAAGTTTTCAGTCACAGCAAGAACAGTGTGTGGGCAGCTCAGTGCACACAAGAAGAAAAATGGCATGCACATGCATGAGTACAGTACCCCAAGGGACATGAAGGTGCAGCATGGCTCCTCAGGCTGCATATGGAAACGAAAAAGAAAAAAAATGCGGCTGCATATACCCTTGATAAACAATCATATTTCTCCTTTAATTATTTTATGACGGTTATAAAAAAAAAAGGCTCTGTGCAACACATCCACTCTACCTTTTTGTCTGATTACATAGCATAATGCAAAATGAATTCTTATGGGTTACAGAGATGCAATGCTAACTTGCTCCTGTAAACATATGCATCTCTCAAACTTTGTTGGCTTCCCAGACAATAAAGCCTCTGTACTGAAGCTTTGACAGGTAATAACTTAAAGATATACGCTGGGAACACCCAAAGGGACGATCACAAAAATAAAATTTCTGGCTTGGACTGAGACTGATTCAGTTACCAAGAATACATTTTACTTTGAAAAGACAAATTGAGACATAGTGATAAATCTCTAACTCTTCACGTCTATGTGATTGCTCCACTGACAGGAAGAATGTTTATGTAGCAGCTACAAGGCAATTCACTGTTCAAAGTAACGCACTATAAACTTAATGGCTATCTACAGGCATATGTAACTACTCCAAGGGAATGCACATAGATTCTAAATGCATACATTTGTGCCAGAAAAGTTGGATTGGCTTTTGGTTATCATACTAAAAATTTTAAATGGAAAAATGTAGCAGTGGCAGTGCTTTCATTGAAGTTTGTACAATAAATAGCGGACGCCCTATTCCAGCCAGAGCCGTGTCTTTTACATGCCCTCTCATAATAAACAAGAGAATCCCAATGCTATTGTTTAAGGTTTTGTGGCAAATTATGTCTATTCCATGAAGCTGTGCACAGTTATGATCCTTTTGTTTTGCTTAATAAAGGAGAGGGTTGCTAATTTTAAAAGGAGTTTGTGGATTCAGTCTCTTCAAAGGTTTACTAGATGCATGAGTGAACTTTCTGTATGCATTTATATTTCAGGCTTGCACTCATGTATCCAATGCCCAAAAGTGAAACTCTGACAATCATTAAATTCTATCTTGCCACAGCGTTGTTGGCCCTGGCATCTTCCCCATTTAATTATCTATTCATAATAACACAGCATGTTGGACGCTTCCTCTGACGCACAAGCGTAATCATTCAGAAGGCTCTGCGTCTGTGCAGCTGCAGCGTGATGCGTTTTGCTGCAGCTTTTTTGTGCGCTTAAAATGGGCTTTAAAGGAGCAGTCTAGTGCGTTCCAGTTCCAGTGCATGCGTTTTTGATGCGTTCTGTTGCGATCAGGTGCAGCTAAAATGTGACAAGGAGGATTTTTTTCTGACTGCATCAGAACTGACTGCACTGGTGTGAACAGAGCACAAGAAATCCCATTGGGAATCATTGTGACGTTATTTTGATGCAGCTGCCAAACTGAACGGAGTGCATCACAACTGCACCTAGTGTGACCTAGCCCTCAAGTATGCGCTACTGTAGTTGTAGGTCACTTCCTGCAATTTCATCAGAACTCCTAAATGCAGACCCACCAGCCGCATAGAAAGGGACATGGATCAGAGATTTGCGGTCATGTAACCGCAAATAAAGAATCATCAAAAAGGTATTTGTTTAGAGCTTTACATACACTATATTGCCAAAAGTATTGGGATGCCTGCCTTTACACGCACATGAACTTTCATGGCATCCCAGTCTTAGTCCGTAGGGTTCAATATTGAGTTGGCCCACCCTTTGGAGCTATAACAGCTTCAACTCTTCTGGGAAGGCCGTCCACAAGGTTTAGGAGTGTGTCTATGGGAATGTTTGACCATTCTTCCAGAAGCACATTTGTGAGGTCAGGTACTGATGTTGGACGAGAAGGCCGGGCTCGCAGTCTCCGTTCTAATTCATCCCAAAGGTGTTCTATTGGGTTGAGGTCAGGACTCTGTGCAGAACAGTCAAGTTCCTCCACCCCAAACTCGCTCATCCATGTCTTTATGGACCTTGCTTTGTGCACTGGTGCGCAGTCATGTTGGAAAAGGAAGGGGCCATCCCCAAACTGTTCCCACAAAGTTGGGAGCATGAAATTGTCCAAAACATCTCGGTATGCTGATGCCTTAAGAATTCCCTTCACCGGAACCAAGGGGCCAAGCCTCCCCCCCTAAAAATAACCCCACACCATAATCCCCTCTCCACCAAACTTTACACTAGGCACAATCAGGCAAGTACCGTTCTCCTGGCAACCGCCAAACCCAGACACATCCATCAGATTGCCATAGTCTGTAGCTATTGACTCTGCAGACAGTTGGTGACTTCTCCGCACTGTGCGCTTCAGCATGTGCTGACCCCGCTCTGTCATTTTACGTCACCTACCACTTCGTGCCTGAGTTGCAGTTGTTCCCAGTTGCTTCCACTTTGTTATAATACCACTAACATTTGATCGTGGAATATTAAATAGCAAGGAAATTTCATGGAACACCTGAATCCAATGATTTGGAGTGATGTCCCAATACGTTTGGCAATATAGAGTATATTGAATGCAAAGGCAGACATAGCAATGTATGCAGTGCCTTTAAGATGTTTGTTTTAATTGGGCTTTTCGACTTCTTTAAAATTCCATTGTGAAAAAAAAGAAAAGAAGAAGCAGTTTACAAAGGGAGTAAGTAGCTTGAAGCAGTGCCTTCAGCAGCTTAAAAAACAAATCTAGGCGCCAGCTTTGGCAGTCCTTTCCTTGGGAATAGAGGGTATCCCGGCACAATTTAGACAACTGACGGTCCACATTTTATTAGCTGCCAGACTTAGCATAGTTAGAAAGTGGAAGAAGGTAACATCCCCTTCTATAGATGAAACTCTCTCTATAGTGAAACTTCATTACCACCATGAAAAACTCATAGCACTTAGGGAAGGGTCTCTGCCGAAATTTGACGCTAAATGGCTCCCGTGGGTCCGCTGGTCCAACCCAACCGCCTTAACCAGGGCCAAGTGAGCATCAAGAATGTGATCTGTATTGTCGGATTATGAGTGTATTGTGCACAATGCTGGTCCTCTTTAGTTCTGACGTCTATGCCCTTTAAAATGCCCACTGTATATCTAGCTTTGCTGCCATCCCTTTTTTTTGACCAATCTTACACAAGATACATATGTCAAATATGTGATGACTGCTGTTTATCCTTGTAATTTTGATTTATTTCTCATGTCTATTTTCCTTTATGTCTTTGTTATTGTCTGTTATTCTGGTTATTCGTTTTGCTTGTACCAAGGCTTTTTTTGTTATAAAAATGTGAACAAAAACTTCAAATAAAAATCTATTGAATTAAAAAACAAATCAAAGCAACACAGAAGTACCTGAAAGCATACTGCATTTGTCTGATGCCAGTTACATAAACCCTTAGGGCCCTGTCACACCATGCAGAGTACGTTTGGCCTCTGGAACGCAACCGGGCTGGCTCACTTTGTTTTAGGGCGGGAGGGGGCATGGTGGTGCATTGATCTCAATGGCACCGCAGCCATGTACCCCACCCGCAATGCGATCGCCGTCACCCAAACGCGCGGCACATTAGTAACTGCGTTCTGGTCCAGTGCGATCTACAAAAAATGCTGCATGCACTACTTTTTGCACTGGACCGGAAACGCAGCCACTGCGTGGTTCGTGTGCCGGCGATCGCACCACGGGTGGGGGCGTGGCTGCGGTGCCATTGAGATTAATGCACCGCCACACCCCCTCCCGCCTCAAATAAAGTGAGCCGGCCGGGTTGCGTTCCAGAGGCCGAACGCACTCCTGAAGGTGTGACTGGGCCCGTTCACAGCAGCAGCGTGTACTACTGCAAGGCCACTGGTGGGCACTGTGAAGGAAGCTGTGTAATACTTTTTTTCATGAACTTCAGTGAAATGTCACCAACCATTGCGATGTGGTGCAGTGCGTTGCAACCACTATTGCATGTCCAACTTTTTTTTCAGCACACACCACCGCATGTGGTATCATATCAGAGGACATAAGAAAAATTGCCGTCTTTGTGTTGGGACTGCACTGGGCAAGGCTGGGCAGCCCATTGCATCTGGTGTGAACAGGCGCTTAAAGTATTACATTCATGTATTCTACTGCAGGCCTACTTTTCACTTCAAGCTTAAAAAACCATGGTATTGTGAAATAGGATAATCAATGCCCATGATATGGTATGAATTTAAACGGGCAATTCCTTTTTGTGAAGATGATGGACAGTCTACCGATTCATCAGAATCTCTTGGAGTTCAAATAAAGCAAAATTACCTGAACTGTAACGAAGCCAAACAAGGAAGTTTCAGGATCCACTTGTGATAGCGACACTTGGCTATGATAGCCATCCCAAACTAATGGGCCTTAGCATTGCAGTCACCAAAGGATATAAGAAATTGGTGCATATCCAGTATTCAACCAAAAAAGGTGATATTACAGTTTCATGGTTTATTAGAGTTGTAGGGTTTATTGCTACATGAAGAATTAAGTGTAGTGAATTAGAAATGTTTTACCTGCATGGGGCCTGGTATACAAGATAAAACTCTTTCAATGTTTTCTGCACTGACTTCCACATCATTAACAGCAATCAGAGTATCCCCTGTTAGAAGGAAAAATAGACAGTAAATATGTACACATTAAGGCCCAATATTTATCTATTCCTGCTTAGTATACCCTCAGCATTCAGCAATGACCAGTGCTCTATTGACATTGTCAAATGAGTGGAAAAAAAATGTAATGACATGACAAATCTCTCCTTAGAACAGTGATCCCCGTTCAGATGGTCACAGATACAACTACATCCAGTGATTGGAAATTTGCTACTTTTTGCACATTACTTTGCTTAGTCAGAAAGATGATGCTAAACGGCAATGTGCAAAATGTGTTAGTCTTCAGACTGCTGGATGTAGCTGTACGTATCAATACCAATTAAATATTCTGATGAGGATAATGCCGCCAATGCCAAGTGATTTGTTTTTTAACTTGTAAAACCTTAAACGATGGAGTTAAAATACTGTAGTAGTTAGTTGGTCAGAAATGCCTTGTTTTGACACAAACTAATCACTTAAAATAGAAGCGCAGTTAACCAAAACCAAGAAGTCAGGCAGCCAAAAGAAAAAAAGTAAATCACAGCTGCCATGCAACTGCTCTATTGTTGCAACACGTGCTCCCTGCTTAAAACTATCTGCAGCTTACACAGTTCTACATCTAAAGTGTGAAGTCTCTTGATGCTTCACTTGAGTAATATAGAACATGTATACGCATCAGCAGCAATGCAAAGATTTCTATTCATACCAAGTATGCTAGAGCCAAGTTGAAGAGGCAGTCAGCATAACAGGTTACCAGGGCACTGTGATGCTAAACAATTGTTCATAGGAATCTGCTATTTATGTAACACATGATAACTCAACCGAATACACAAGTGCAAATGCCTAATATGTTACCTGGTTTTATGAAGCTTAAAGTGACATTAAACCCTCAGATTTTTTAACATAAACCAATACTGTAATGTGTGCCTTACTGTAATCCATGGTTGTTTCCCTTCTCTTTGCTGCTCTTCCTTTTAAATCCTCATGTCTTCTCATGCTTGGGTAGAACTTCCCTTTTCAGCTCAGGGCCTCTTCCTGTAGTGCTGGCTCAGGTTACAGGCCTATACAAACCTATACACAGACACCGTGTATCCATTCCTGAGACAAGGCAGTCTGCTGCAAAACAGAAGTTCTGCCCAGCATGAGAACAGATACAAATTTAAAAGGAAGAGCAGCAAAGGGAAGGGAAACAACCATGGATTACAGTAAGACACCAGTATAGGGGGTGGTGGGGCTAGCGGCTGGATACCACTAGAAAACAAGGAAATAACAAAATATAAAGAGCAAAAGAAAGGTAGTCTGGCCTCCATAAACAAGAAAAAACGTCTTAAATATCTAAAGGAGATGGATGGCCCATCAGGAGTGGAACATGCATAAAGTCAATACGGACCCACAATAGGTTAAAGCTAGGGTTTCCTTGATGATGTCCAAAGACAAAATAACAGCTTTATTAAATGAGAAAATGACCCTCTTTGAGAAAGTCTGGTCCCTATGAAATCAACATTACCTCCCTCTGTTGTTGAATGCTGGGCCTTTGATTTTTCTTGACAACTCAAACCAGGCCAAAAGCTGTGACCACAGACCCCTTAGACCCTTACCCCTCCCCTTTTCACCCTCTATCTTCGCCTGTCTCTAATCTCTTTTCCAGCCCACTGACGTACTGATGTACGATTCCGAAGTTATTCCAGTATGACCTACACTGACGTGCACTGAACCGCCAATGTACAGTACTACATTCACTCCAATGTATCCCACTGCGCTGACCCTTGTGTTTTCTTTACTTCACTGAGGGCCTGTTCACATGATTATCAGGTCCTGATCAGGTGCGGATCTGCAGACGTGGTGCTATGTGTTTTGCCGCGTTTTTGCTGGAGTGGGGCTGTCAGTATGTTAGCTGCAGGGCGTTTGACGCGTTTTGCGTTTCCGGACCGTACAAAATGTGACATGCAGTATTTTTTCTGTCGTAACCTGAACGGACTGCGCACGTGAGAACTGTAGCCCATAAAACACATAGGGATACATTGGGATGCATTTTTAGTGCAGGAGCGTACGGATCAGGTCAGCACAGAAAACGGACGTCGTGTGAACAGGCCCTAAAACCTCAGTAAAAAGCTCCAAGCACACAATTAAAGTGTGCCCATGTTTTATTTAAGGTATGTAACCTGCAGACACTTGATACAAGTAGGCAACTTTCTAATATACTTTATAGGGCTCCCTGTGGAGCTCTAATATATAATTAGAAACTTTTATCCCTGAGCTTACAGCTGGCCCTTTCCCCTCCTCTTTACTGTTTGGCATGGTGGTCCATCACTTTGATTGAACAATAGCAAGGCACACAAGGAAAAAAGGGCAGGGCTATCCTGGACATCAGGAATTGCAGTTAATTTTCATACAGTTTTGTGGGGGGAAAAAAAAGTACACCCTCTTTAAATGTTATGCTTTTAAGTATCAGGACAGATGAACAACAACACATGGCATATTGTAGTGTCATTATTTATTATACAGACATAAAGCCAGAATGGAGAAGCCATGTGTGAAAAACTAAGTACACCTTATGATTCCATAGAACCGTCTCAGTAGCAATAACTTGAAGTAATCATTACCTGTATGACTTTATCAGTCTCTCACATTGTTGTGCAGGAATAGTGGTCCACTATTCTTTACAACGTTGCTTTAGTTCATTGAGGTTTGCGGGCATTTGTTTATGCACATTAATTAAATTTTTCACTAAATATTGGGGTTTAATATGGAGTTGCGCTAATATTGCACAACATAAAAATTTGCAACTACCACCATTTTATTCTATAGGGTCTTGGCATTCAGAAAATATATAATGTTGGGGGGTTTTAAGTAATTTTCAGGCCTAAAATGTGGAATATAACATGGGTACAAAAAATGAAAAAAAAAAAAATGAAGGGGTTAAATTGTTTGGAAATGGTCTTATAACCCTTTCCCGATTGATGGGCAGCAATAATTGCTATTCTAAGATCATTGCTGAAGTCTTACCGCCTTGGCATTGTATTAACACACCTGAATGCTCCAGACCAGCAAACTGCAAAAACTTTGGCTTTGATAGAGGTGTCACACTTGCGGATGATCAATTAATCAAGGACATTTGATTAGCAGCACATGGCTGCTACTTAGCTTCTTAATTCCTATGGAAGCAGTAGGATGTACTTAGTTTTACACGCAAAACTTCTCCATTTTGGCTTTATATAAAATAATGACATGGTGTAATATGGCATGTGCTTATTCGAGGTATGTACCTAAATTTAACAGCTGCTAAAAGGAGCAGATGATTTTTATTAAGTCCTGATATGGAAAACTATAGAATTCAAAGAGAGTGTACTTTTGTTTCACACAAACTGTATATTAGAGATTGCAGAGTTTCAAGGCTCCCTACTGAAAAGATACCCCTTTACATACTGTGTTGGTGACCCCTATCACTAGGACAGGCAAGAGAAATACAGCCTATTACCTTCAATGCATTTTCTTTTTATGCACACTGCTGCAAATGAATAAAGGGTTGACAGAACTTTAACCACTTCAAGATCAGGTGTTTAGACCCCCTTCCTGGCCAGGCCATTTTTCAGTACTGCAGTACTTTGACTGACGTTTATCCCGTCATACAACGCTGTACTGAAATTAATTTTATACCATTTTTTGGGGACAGATAGAGCTTTCTTATGGTGGTATTTAATCACCACTTTTATTTTTTACTATATTAAGGAAAAAATGTTGACATTTTTGGGAAAAAAAAATTGTTTTTTTTCATTATGTTAGGAAACAATGATTATTACCCATATTTTTTGTAAAATATAAAATTTTAAAGCATGACAAACATGTCAAGCTTTAAAATTGCGCGCACCCGCGAAATCGCTCTTTAAAAAAAAAAGCTTTTTTATTTGTAACTTTACATTATTGGGGGGGAAACTTACAATTTTTTTTTTCCTATTACTGTTTTTTTACAACGGCCGGCCGGGAAGTAGTTAAAGAGATTTGCAGAAAGAAATTCCACTTACCAATAAAGATTTGGCGGCTTTGGACAGCTGGACTTTCTGGAATAAAACCATGTATAACTAGTTTCTCATGCCTTGTCCATTTATGCACTGCATCATACTTGCCCTGTCTTTCCATAAGCTTACTAGTCCTTGAGGACTGATGTACAATCCCAATCATTGCCTGCAGCAGGTTCAGCTTCTCATATGGTCCATTTTGAAGTAATCGGTTTGGATTAACATACAGACAAATGTCTTTGTACTGCTGATGTACAATCATTCCAGTTTTATTGCTAGGCTGGTGTTTGAGGATAGATGTTGGCCCTGCTTGGCTGTTTAATCTTGCAGATCCTTTCTTGCCAATGTGTTTTTTCTTCAATATTTTAGAAAGTCTCTTAAACCGTGGCTCTGTCTTTTTATCTTTCTTGACATCTTCCGATATCACTTCAGCTTCATTTTCACAAAACCGCACATGGTTTACACCTTGGGAGTTTAAGAGAGTTTCTTCCTCTCCTTCACTCAGTTCAATATAGAAGAGTTCTCCATTTCTTTGTACACTCTCCAGCCACTCTGGCTCCAAGTCACTACAATGAAAACCAAGATGTTTAAAATTACAAATCATAAAGAAATATATTGGAAATACAGCTTGTTTTAATAATTAACAACATAGCAAGGTAGGATGATATACAAGCTAAAACTCATATTTTTTACTTCTGCTGTGGCATGAAGTTAAAATGTATTTAAAGACATTTTTTGGCTGTTTGTTTCCCCACTATAGAGATTCACTCTCATTATTTGTCCTAGTGACCACTGTCACCAGAAGAAAATGAGAGGAAATCCATTATTTTGAGCAGTCACCAGAACAAAAATGAGACGCTTGTTCGGGTGACAACTGTCTACACGTGAGACATTTCCTGTCACTGCATTTAGAACAGGAAATCAAGGGAAATAAAAGGTTTTTAGATATACTTTAAGGACTGCTATTCAACACTCCAATCCAAGAGCTGCAGTGGCCAGTAAAGGCCCTCACATTGAACTGCTAAATAACTTGGCTTATAGGACACCTGTCATGAGAAAAACATTGAGGTTGAATTCACTGAGCTCACCCAAAAATTCTAGTTGTCTGACTCTTATGCTATTCCCTTTGATTCAATACTAGCCCAGAAGAGATATGCAAATAAAGTAAACCTACACAGAGAAACATGGAGGTTTCCATTGCACAACTTAGTCTGAAAATGCTAGTTGCTTGGCTGTCGCAGGCCCCAATCTGCAAAAGGCATGCAGCAAGTAAAGTCAGAATGCCTAACCAGCCTGTTTCCACTTATTGGATCAGACCAACCTGGCAGCTAGCCCCTTATTGAAGAGCCAAAGGTGCAGTGGAGAGGCCAAAGAGGAGGGCAATAAACAGGAAACACACGCAGGTCGATCTGCCGAGAAGATGGCAAGGCATCTATGATTGTACATGGAGGCCAGAATGTCTCCCAGATGGAGGGAAGAAATGACTGAACTGGCATAACACATGTGGAACTTGCAGGACCCAAAAGAAAGGTATTAAGAACCTTTTGGGTTTGGGATACAGTGAACAGGTTTGAATAGAAACCCTAGAACCTTTCCTCTTGTTGGACAATGGCTATGATCCCTTGCGAGACGAGCTGTCCACCGATCTGAAATTCCTGCAAGTAGCCTCTGGATACAATGTTCTGGACCCAAATGTCTGCAAGTTCCAGTAGGATTCTTTTAGTTAAGGACAAAAGCCCTACACACTGCAGCTGAGGTCCAGGGGTTCCCAAACAGGCATATCTGGTGATAGGGCAGCAAGATTTATGCAACATGCAGCTCCTGGTAGTCTTCATCCACTAGCTTGTAGACCCCTAAGGGGTCTTCAGGGACAAGGTTCCACCAGATGGGTGCACCTCTGCCTTGGACTTGCAAAGCAACCTGCGGCAGACTCACATGTTGCACATACGTATCTAGGTGAGAGCATTTAGCAGCTCCTAGTACCAGAGGGCACATTAAAGACTAGCTCCCCTTATTATTCTCAGCAGGATACAGACACAGCTTCCGTGACGATGCCAAGGGTTAGCCGATATGTAAAGCTGCAAAGATTAGCCCCTTCTGGCTCTGCAGCAACTGACAAAACATGTGTATGAAAAAGAATGTTGATAAAAGGAAAAAAAGAAATCTCTCATGGAAGACTTTTGCTCTCCTTGAATACTAGCAAAAAACTGAGGCATGCTGGGAGTGGGATGGGTTATAATGGGCTGCCCTAACAGCTTTGTTTCGCCAGTGTCAAATCCCCTGAAGGCAAATGCATCTGAATACTTCTGTGTCTCTCACAATACAATTAACACATAGGATTTGAGGCTGGGTTCACACCATTTTCCGGACCAGATCTGGAACATAGTGCATTGCGTTTTTGCCACATTTTTACCACGATTGGAAATGTATTTATTTTTTAGCATAAATTGGTCTTACATGTGCGTTCCAGTGTGTTCCGTGCATTTTTGATGCGTGCCAGTGCATTCCAGACCAGACAAAATAAGACAAGCAGTATTTTTCTGGTCTGGAATGGACTGCGCTGGTGGGAACAGAGGCCAGAAATAGCATAGGGATACATTGGGATGCATATTGGGTCCGGAAACAATCTGCTCTGGAGGTAATCTGGATGTGGTGTGAATGGGCCCTGAGGGTTAACAAAAAAATGTGAAAGGACCACAAAGTGTCTGCACTATTGGAGTAATGTTAGCTTGATTGATTCTAGTTAAGAAAGAGAGTACTTAAGATGTATTATAAAAACAAAAACCAAAAGACAAATGTGTGAAAAACATTTTAACATGCCAAAAAAAAGTATTAAAAAGACCATGCGTGAGAACTAAATCTTAACCACAAGGTAATGATTAGTGTAAAACAGTCAAACTGAGAGCACAGAATACTATCTAATTGGCTGAATGTGTCATACTTTAGTTCAATAAATTAGGATTTTGTCACCTATAAAAGGCCCTGCAGGAGGACGGCTGGCTTTTCACTTCTGTGTACATAGCATTTCATTACATCCTTGTACAGCTGATTTCAAGCCTCTTCCACTCAACACTTCTCAATACTCAGCTTTTCAAAGAGTAGAAGAATTATACAGCTTGAAGATTTGGTTTACTTTTTTTTCTTCTTCCTTTTACATAAACCATGGGAATGAAAAACAGATGCCCCTCCAGAGACAGAAACAGCTCATATAAGCATTTTAGTATGCAACCACTGCTAAGGCAGCGTTTACACAGCACAGCCTCATTCATTTGTGGCTTTCAGCCTGCAGACAGAGTAAACAAGCATGTCCACATAGGCTTGGGACCCTTTAGAAATGTGCATTGTGAATGACATCTCCCTAATTCTATTGCTGCTTTCTCCTAGATGGAACTCTGCTTACTTTGTGTGTATTAGAGAACGAAGACCAAATATATTCACGGTTCTGTTGCATTGAGCTTATCCAGTTTGACATAAACAACTTAAACGTTAGAAACCGCTTTGGTATACAAAAGATCATAGGACACAGAACAAAATGTAGATTTACTACAGAAATGTTATATTACAGCCGGACTTTGTGGTTTTTTTTTATAAATTACTTTTTCCTCTTATTTCAGCATTTGCACGGATTACCTCCAACTAAAACATTATTATTTAAAAGTCATTTGATTTTGTTTTACTACCACAAGCCTTAACCCCTTCATGACTGAGCTAGTTTTCAGGTTCTGTTCATAAATGACTGACACATTTTTTACATTTTTGCTGTGTGATTCTTCCACAGCAGTAATATACTTTCTTACTAAATGTACCCACACATATTATATATAGTTTTTTAGAGGACAGATAGGGCTATATAATTATATCACATATGTGTACCTAACCCCTCACTTAGTTTGAATAAAATAAAAAAAATGAGGAAATAAACAAGAAAACACTTTTTTCACAAGTTTTGATTATTATTATTTTTTTTAGAATTTTTTTATATTAATTATAGTATAAAAAATATATTTATATATAATTTATATTTTCCTAATTTTGTTTTACACTTTATTTGTATTTTTTTTACACTTTGTAAAAAAGAAAAAAAAACTTTTGTTTTTCTTGTCAGTTTATATCAAGCAATCACTATGACAAGCAATCACTTTTTGGCTATTAGGCTGATCCAAACTTAGGAGCAGCTAATAATAACCTTAGAGACTGATCCTGACTTTAGTCAGATTCAGATCTCACTAAAAGCTCTTTGATCGTGCCTAGACGATCAGAACTGATACATTTCACTCAAAAGATATACATTGTATCTCTTTGGTGAAATGTATCCAAACATCGGGCTCTCGAGCTGTCAAAACAAATAGCAGAGAGGTGAAGTGAGTCACTGCTGCCTCTCTGCTATTTTGAGCTGTCAAATACGGGATCGCAAATTGCGGTCCTCTATTTGCATGTAACGGCTTCATTCTTTCATTAATGAAAGGAAGAAGCTTTTACAAAAAGCTTAATTATTTCATTAATTAATGCCTCAATACTGAGACATTAATGAATGACTGTTAAATGCTGAGAATCAGCTGTTACCGGCATTACAAAGCCTGATATAACTCGGCACGTGTACGTGGCCAGTCATATAGGCACAAAGTGACAGGACGTACACTGTACGTCTCCCGTCACGAAGCGGTTAAAGTAAGGTAATTGAAGGTAGACAGTTTCTTTCTTCTCTGAAGATTTTTTCAGCGTAATTTATGTGATGCCCCTGAATCCACTTATGCTTAATTTCTTCAATAGTCCCAAAAGAACCACTAGTTGGTTTTCTCCGCAAAAGGTGCATGCCACTAGAACTTGTCTTTGGTCAGTTTAGCTGATGTAACAAAAGATGCAACAGCATCACCAGTTCTCGACTTTGTTCCACCAGACCATATTTCAGACCAGTAACCCTCAACACCATCGGTACCTGGTTAAATAACATCTCCTGAAAAGGACTTCTAGGTGCTGCTGACACTGATACAGCACCCAAACACTGATCTTAGCCATAAGATTTTGTAAACCTTGAAAAATGAAATCAGAAATGGAAAAATTTATAATCAAAGCTTCATAGAAAAAGGGCATCACAAAAGCTTGTCAGATCGTTTTGGCTTCTATCCATCTTCTTTTACTCCCTTGAGGCAGCACAATCTCAACTCAACTCTGTTCAGTCAGCATTGAACCAATAATCTAAATGTCTAACTTGCTGTTCTCCTAAAGGCCATCGCTACAGCAATGTTTACTACACAAAAACAAAAAGATATATGCAAGAACCCAGTTTGCTTCATAATATGAGAGACAGAATGCCTCTTAGAACCAGTGATCGTACAGAGAATGAGAAGGCTTCTTGTGGATTGCCGCTTTTAATATACAGTACCAGGTTTTGTGTCACAGATCAAAGCATGGAGTAATTGATACCAAGATACTTGTATTATAAAATACAAGTGTCTTTGCATACCAGAAGAGGCCACTGACTGCATACACTGTGTGCACAATTATTCGGCAAGTTGTATTTTTTGAGGATTCATTTAATTATTGAACAACTACAGTGCTCTCGGTC